TCTGCTACTGAAGGAAAGCCTACCTCTCACGTGCTGTCTATCAGTCAGACAAACCAGTGAATTCTGTTATGCACTATAGTTACTATGAAACATTCTAATGGTCTTTTATTTCTTTTTAACTAATGTTACAAAATAATCTATGAATTTAAAAAGCAAGGTTAAACAAGAACCAGCTGCTGTACTTTCAATCTAAAAGCTACAATAGACAACTTTTCATATCAGTCTAGTGACTTTCATCTACCAATTTGCTGTTATCTGCAATAAAGCAAATTATAATTGCTACGAGGAAGATCATAATAATTAAAGGAATATATATGACATCCTACATTACTGCCTGGACTGCTTTACAGCCTACTTTAGTGAAATTGAGTAAAAAGAGACTGACATTACAGGAGAGTGTAACTGCTCCAAGGTGACCCTCTACACTGAACACTTACTATTTGTCCATTGCTATTTTTAGTGACAAATCTGGGTAGATCTCATTAATGACGTTGTAGACATGGTCTAATAATCTGATGAGGCTGGAACACTGTCAAGGTTTTAGACTTTCTTTTTTTAAACCAAAAAACAGACTGAATACCCATCAGAATTTTGTTTTTTAATTTGTACAAATTACTGCCCTATACTTTGGTATTTAATGGCAATTAATGTCAAGGAAAATATCTAATTTTCTGAGACTAAAAGTATCACTGTGGATCATATTCTGTGTTCTCTTGACGCTCCAGGGTCTTGTGTCCTCCTAAATGATGAAGGGCTACCACACTGGGCCTTGAAACCTATCATCCACCATGCTGAGAAACCAGGAAAACTCTGCTCACCACCTTTTGGACAAGAGATCCAACTGCTACTGAATTGTCTGAAGTTTTATCACATTTCTCCTCATTATACTCTTGGAGGCAATTTTGTTGTGGAAACTGAAAAGTCTCAAAATATATTGCAATCTCATTATTTGGGATGTTTGTTGATTGTGTTTCAGTAATGTTGCTCCCCTTGACTTCTGATTAAACTGTTCAACTTATCTGAAAGTCAAGCACTCAAACCCAGAGAAATACACAATTGCTGGCCATTTGTCTGCCATTTTATGTCCTCATCTCTGATAAAACCTGAGAAAAATGCAGTGACCTTGATTCTATCCCACCATATCAACTCCGCTTTTCCTGCTGCCCAGCTCTTGCTTCACTAGCTGCCTCCCAGCTGCTCAAACACGAAGCAGGATGGTATCATTCACTGATGATATAAGCAGCTCCTCAGAACACCATGTCTTACCCTGATGACAATATTACACCACATCATCTTCACTGGTCATGTAGGAATTACCGTAATTTACTGTTTAAAATAACACTACTTTCTGATGTGGCCCGGCCCTTAAAAGCTTTTTATGCTGTGCACTGGATTACATTAATTTCTCTGTGTTTGTTCCACAACATCTCTGTGGGTATCTTAGTCCGAACTGAAACATGGCAACATGAAAAGCAAACACTTGGTTTTTTTGCCCAAAAGCCCAGCATGCAGGTCTTCACAGCACCTCTCTCACAGCTCCTGAGAATTCTGGAGTGCAGTAAGTCACAGTGTCAACTCTTTCAGCATTTCCATTTCCTTTTCCAAATGCTACGACTCAAGTTTCTTTCGTGTCAAACAAGCAGTTATTGACCAGGTCTTCATCCTGCAACTTTACATCATCTTTTAAATACCCTAAACACGGGTCATTCAGGGACATAAATGTTACATAAAAACCCGGAGACCAAGCAAAAAATTACCTGGTGTCCCAAGAGAGTACTTCACATTTTATATATATCCATCCATCACCAGTACATGAACTCACCTAAAGAATGGGTAAAATTTATGTGGGTTCTTGCTCTTAAAGCCTGTTCTTTTGCACCCAGCTTGTGAAATGATCAGTGGAAACAATGACTCTTTCTGGTCCTTCAGTATTTGCTAAGTTGGCTTTGTCCCAGTATTCCTTCCTACGCCATCCTATTCAGAGTTAGTTTAAAGAATGTTCAAGGTACATGTGTTACAAAGATTTTTCAGAGTACCAGGTGCACACTAGGCCTGAAATGTGTGTGGCTGTACAGTAAGTGGAAAAATACAGAAACATGGAGGCAAAAGAACAAGCAAGAAGATAGTGGTGAGCATAATAAAAGCAGAGAAAGACATATGAAAGGGTACAGATCAAAAAGCACTGAAATGGAACAAAACTCAAAAGGAAGAGTAAATATAGAAAAAGACTGCAACAGACCAAAAAAAAGGTATTCTTTTTATCTAATGAAAAATGAAAAGACAACCTACAAAAATATATGCTGTGTGTATAAGTGTTTGTGCAAGTAGATATAAGTACCAAAACCACATCCTACCATTTTTCTTAAAACCTGCAATACCAGACTTTTAAAAATTACAGTTGTTCTGACAAGTATTTAAATTACTCCTACCTTTCAAACTTGGGGGATTGGGCTTGTGTAAACGAAAAAGAATGTGACCACAGATCTGAACCCACCAGCTGCTGGCCTTTTACACCAAGATTTTTAACCCCATCTTATGTTTTAGTTGTCCAGCATCAGCAATGGAAGAGGGTTTGTTTAGAGTTACCATGTCTTTTCTTGTCTGTGTTATCTTATTGAAAGCATTTCAATATGTTTATGAAATGCACAGGGAAAAAACTTAAAATTACCTAGCAGACACTGAAGCTAAGAGATCTTGAGAAGCTCTGTACTGCTCAGGGATATGGAAAATTTGAAAAACTCATTCCAAGTTACTTTAGAAGTTTGAGCCACAGACCCATCAGGATGTTGGAGTTAATGGGTAAATTGCATGGAGTGAATCACTAACAGCCAAGGGAACAGGAAGGCAAAAGAGAGAAGCCTATATCTGACAGCAGTAGAAAAACAGGCTGTAAACCTGATGTGGGAACAGAGAAAAAGGGTAGAAAAATGGAATATAAAGCACTAGGCCTCTAATTGTTCCAGATAAAAAGAAATTATATGTGTGCTTAAATATCTGAGAGAATACTGTAGCTTAGCACAATCATTAAACTTTGCTACAATTAGGAAGCCCTAAACTAAGAGTTCAAATTCAGGATGAAGTTTTTAGGTTGAACTATATAAAAAGTCTTTTATCTCTTACCCTTCACTGCCATGTGAAACCACCCTCACCCCCAAATAAAACTCCATTTGAGAAATGAGACATCAGATGCAACACTGCACAATCAGGATATGGCTAAGAGTGCACCTTTCACTTTCTTCTGAATCATTTTGTGTGTTTGCATAAGCAGCCTCCAGTTCTAGATGCAGTGTACTAGCACAGATCTGGGCCTACACAAACTCCCACTGAAATCATCGGGACAGGTGACAGATTCAAGACCCTAAACTCAAACATCTTTCTGACTGGTCAGGGCCTTAAGCCTTATGCTCACATAATATAAGGGAGGCAAAGCCCTCCTGAAAACAGGAATTCACCTGCGTCTCTAGGACAGCAGACAGGTTTATCTAGGCCCATGCTGGTGGCACAAAAGTTTTGTTTGCTAATGTACACACAAAAATACTATTTTTATAGTAATGCAAAATTAATGAAATGCAACATGCCATGTAAAAATCAGCACACCAACCTATTTCATGAGTTTTCCTACTAAATAGACGTGACTTTGGTGACACTCCTTTAAATTATACTGACCTCAAACGGTTTCGAGTTTGGTAACTTATCCTACATGAAAATGTGTACCCGTTAAACACCTGGTAATCTTTATTACCTTTTGACAATAAAGTTTCTATTCTTGTAATCTGAAAATCCTCCACCTGTTGAAGCTGATGGCTACTGTACTATTACATTCTTTTGTCCCGTTTTATAAACGTCCCCCGTGGCTCTCAGAACCCTTCCATATGCGATTCAAGTAAAGACGAGCACACGGCAGTGGGCACAGCCCGGCCCCCCAGCCTGGCTGCCGCACCGGCGCTGCGCTGCTCCCCCGGGCTGGCGGCAGCGCCGGCCCGAGGCCTCGGGCAGTGAATCCTCGGCGATTTCAATCCCGCAGCAGCCTCGGCGCCTGAAACCTGCTCTCCGCAGACCCAGGGCTGGGAACACACGGAGAGGTTCTCAGGCCCTCGCTCCCGGCGCTCACAGCCGTGCGGGGCGGGGACGGCAGCAGGGCAGGGCCAGCGGCAGCCGTGCCCGGCACAGCCCAGTGCCTCCCGCCCGCCGCTCCCCCGTCACCGCCCCGGGCCGGGCCGGTTCCTCCGGGCCGCTGAGCCCCGAGCCCGGCAGTTCCCCCGAGCGCGCGGGGACAAGCGGGGCCCTGCCGCCGCTCTGCCCCGGCCCGCGGCGCCCCGCCGCCTCATTCGCTCAGCAGCCCCTGCCAGTCGCTCTCGCTGCGCTGGGAGCTCATGGCTCCGGCCGGCCCCCGGCAGCGACCGGTCTCGCCCGCCCCGGCCTTCCCGAGCAGCCCGAGGGAGAGGCGGGGCCTGCGGCCGCCCGTGCGACCGACCCTGCCCGCCGGGGCCGCCCGGGACCGAGCTCCGCACGGCCGAGCACCGGCAGCACCGGCCTGCTGGTGCCCGGGCAGGAGGGCCGGTCCGCGGGGCAAGAGCGGCGGGGCCCGAGCGGCACCTGCCGAGGGCTGTGCGGGAGTGTCCGGGTGCGTGTCCCAGAGAAGGGCCCTCCTCTCCTGACGTGCTCCTCCAGTGTAACAGCTGGGCACTGCTGCCGTCCCAGGCTCTGGGCAGCCAGGCCTCCGTCAGGACTGGTCGATGAGGCGGCGGACATCAGGGAGACTATATTCCTATATATGTGTAACAAACCCCTTGCAAGTTATGTACACGCTTGTGTTGTGTGTGTAAGGTAAGACATAGCAGCAGGACAAGGAGATAGAAAACCATTTTCTCAAAATATGATGGTGGAACACTGCCCACGTTGGGCACAGATCTTTGTTCTCGCTCAGTTCGGGGAGGTGTAAATAACGTAATGTCCCAGGACTTGATCTAGCTTCTTTTTCACCCCACTACCACAGACATTCACTCCCCATCAGCACTAAAACCGAAGCACGGCACCCACAGGGCGCTCCTGCCCCTTCCTGATCCCTCTGCTCAAGCCATACCCTCTGCAGCCAGAGCTGAAGGAACGTCCATCCCCACGGACTAGATCTACCCTGAGGCACATAACAGGTGATCTTTATTGTACTAACACGGCGAGTGTCCCCAGGACTTATGTTTTCCAGGCAGAGTGCAAGTGTAATTGCATGGAGCATTTGAGCAGTTTAACTCACAAGTACTCTTTGTTTTAAATAACAGCACAAACAGCACAAGACAACACGTTAAAATATGCATGCCTCATTGCTCACCACAATTTACCCACTGTTAAGATTTGTTTGTGCTCTGGCATCTAGGCACAGTGTCCTTTTGTTTTCTAAACTGGCTTCGAGAGCCTCCTTTGACAACTTCGCATCCCTTTGAGCAAGGAATGTTGGCCTCGCCACTGACAACTTTTCTTTTCCCGGTGCTTACTTGACGGCTTATATGGGAAGAAACATAGGTCACATCTGAACTCAGTAGGAGGTCTCTTTGAATGGAAGATTATCACGTTTAATAAATGCCTGTGGTTATGTCCATATTAAAACAAAAAAACAACAACACCAAAAAAAAAGTCCAGGAGAGCAGCTAGCTTTAGTATGGAACTTCAATTTGATAATTAGAAAGTTTATACATTTTATCTGCAAATTATAAATCAAACAGACATTTGCTCCAGTTTGTAGCCCATATCCTCCTATATTAGCTGTTCCTCATCTCTAGGCATTCTGTAACTTTAATGCTCTAGAGAGTACATTTGTCTTTCCTCTTTGTTCATATTTTTTGTGGTTTATGTTGTCACATGTGTGATATATCACAATCCTGCATGTCCTCACAGAACACCATTTCTGAAAACGGCATCATGTTTGCAAAGGTAAATAGCAAATAATTAAAATTAAATTAGCCAGAACTATAATTTAAGCCATTGATTAAAAGGATTGTTAGTGATCTTAGAAACTCAATCATTTTCTTAGTGTTGTTAATAGTTAGAGCTATACAACTGCTAGTGTAGATGAACCAAATTTCTCTCCTGTTTTTTCAGTCGTGTAGCACTCTGGACTCAGAATGCTCTTGCAGAAACAGCTCCTATTATTGAGGTATGTCAGTCATTTTAATCCCAAATCTGCTCACCCTCCTCACAAACATAAGGTTTTAATTTTTATTGATGATAAGTATTCAAATGAGAAGTAAATATTCATGAAAGAGAGGTTATTAAAACAAAAGGAACTCTCAATGTTTCCAGCTCTTATGATTTTATCAAAAGGTTGATAAGAGCTGGTGTTTTTCAGAAAGCCCAAGCTGTTGGATGAGAATAACCGCTTTCTTTTGAAGTAAAAGAAAGATTCAAGGGAATAAATAAAAAATAAGCTGAAATGTGCCTTGAGTACACTTGATATGATCAGAAAGGAAACAAAAGGACCCAAATATGTATTTTTAAGTAATCACTTCTAGTGCCTGATATCAAGACTTTTGGCAGCTTCATCATCTTTCCTGATCCTCTCTGCCTCACTTACCAGTGGTTCCTGAGATGCTCCTGTGTAAGGGTCCCAGTCTGGACCAGGTTACTCTGTCAGCCTCTAGGCAGGAACGTACTGAGATACAGTTACTGTCATAACTCAGACAAACAAGTAAAGAAGACGATAGAAAAGAAGTACTATCACCCTAGTTTATAGATAGGAAACTTGCCTAGGAAAACTGAAGTTACAAACACAACCAGGGAGTGAAATTGCAGGTTTCAGGACTACCAGTCGACTGTTTTAATTGCAAAACTAACAGGATGTCTTGGCTCTGTTCCTACCTGCTGCAGTAACTTCTTTTGCACCATCACCTTGCCAACATCAGAAGAGTACAGTATTGTCATTGAACATCTGAGACAAAAAAAATCTCAACCTTCCTCTCCAGCTACCATCCCGTTCTCTTTGTCTCTAGATCTGTTATCTTTGCTTTCTTCCTCTATATGTTCACTAGATAAAGTTATCTACTTCTAGTGTTTCATCTTCCTTCTCTGCAATTCTGCTTTGTGATCAATCTTTTCCTTGGTATCTTGAGTTCATCTGTCTTTTCACCAGATTACCCTCCACTTCTCTAAGCATTTTCTACATTTCATTAAGAAGGATTCAGACTTTCTAAAAAACATTTTTTATTGGCCTAGACAATTATGCATTCAGAGTCAGATCCAAGCTACTGTGGCTTGTTGATACAACTACTCAGGTAGACATATGTAGGAGATTTAAGAAACAGTTTTCACTTGCAAGAGATTTAATCAATAGTTTTAAAACACAGCTTTTAGAAATCAGTGTCTTTGTCATACATTAAGAAAAAAAACAGTCTGAGCTTGTATCCATAGGTAAGCCACTGAATGGATCACTGCAAATTTTGCTCCTTATTTTTGTCAGCATCTATCTACTGCACTAACTTCATCATTACATCCATGTCTAACTCTAAAGAAATGTAAGAGTAAAAAGCCAGCGTAAATCCTTAAGACCTGGACAGGCTGTATAATTGAAATATAATGAAAACATGTAATGCTTGTCCACTGAAGGATGATTCAGTTTGACTCTCTACGGATGTTTCGGGGTTCCATTTAATCAAGGAATACCTCTGAATGAGGATATAACCTATCATACATAACACATCCATTTGAGTACTTTTGGTAATTTATATTAGCATTATTCTATTTCATGTTGGTGCTAATCTGATGATAAACACACATTCAAACCCTCATGCACACATTTTGGAGGAAGTATACTATGCTTGTGGAGGATACCATTACTTTTAGCTTTTATCTGTTCCCCTATTTGTTTTCTATCCTTTGCTTTTGCCTTTCCTTTTTTAGAGGCTGCTTTTTGTCCATTTATATTCCAGCCACGCCTTCTCAATTTTCTCAGGTTCATTGCTGGTTTCACTATCCTGTATCAGCTCTTCTACTTCACATGCATGATCTGTCAGCAGGACAATATGATCTGCAGATCAGAAGCAGTTTAGCAGTTATTCATTTATGTTGAATCCTTTTGTGGCCAGTCAAGTCCGTGAAGGACGCATCTTAGGCAATCAACAAAGATCGTTAAAGTGCTGGTGTTTCTCTTTTCCTTTTCAAATGGTTTGGACCTTCAATGTATTGCTTTCCTTTGTGTATTAGATGCTGCCTGTAATATTAAAATCGGGGACAGCCATTATTTTCTTTTTGTTTTTTAAAGCTATTTTATAACTTGGCTGGTGCAACCGAACACTGGAGGTCAGAGTAGAGTCTCTCTTACAGAGAGAGAGTGGAAAAAAGAGAATTTGGGGTAAGAGACAGGAACAGACTGTGATCTGCACAAACCAGCTCTTGGATGGAGCTTGGTAATGAGGTCTGGCCAAAGGAGGTTAAAACCAAAGGAAAGCAGCAGTCAAGAGGAGGGAGTGCAGTGAGTGGGTGGGCAGGATGCTCATGGAAAGCATTGAGGGGAAAGCTGTAAGTTGGTGGGGCAGAGGAGAGACTGCAAGTTTGAAAACAAAATAATTTTTAAATGAGTGAACACATATAACAAAAAAAACCTCTCCTAACTGAGGTTTTCTGAGTGATTGAAAATCCAAAGTCAGGAGTGTTCTGTTGCATAGATTTTCTGGGAGTAATATATTATGCATAACATTGTATGCAAGTGCTTTGAATAATATTGTTTTAAAGCCTGGTTTCTCCAAAATCCTGTGGTGTTGCAGCATCTAACTCTTAGGCATATATCTGCGTAGAGAAATCTTTAGCCTCAGGCAATAGAGAAATCTTCATTGGAAAACAGCTGATTGGGTTCTTCCTAGATTGCTTAGGGCTGAAATGCTCAAAAAATGGGTTGGATGGAAGATACAGGTGTTAGAGCAGGTAACCAACCCTCAGATATTGCTAGCAAACACCAATTATACAGAACTATTCAGTTCAAACACTCTCTTTTCTGGACATACTTAGCCTGACACCGAGCATGGTCTTCAGTGAAGTCCCTCAGGGACACCAGGCTGGATGAGGCTCCAGAAGATGCTGGGGACAGTTCAAATCCAACTTGGATAAGAAGTCTTTAAGTTCTCTAAAAGTATCTATAAAATTAATTGGTTTGATCTAGACTATATTGGAAAAGTTTGGCTCTGTTGTCTCTGATAGAGATAGTAGATAACTGTGTAGGGATTATGAATAATGTTCACCAGCAGAATCTGTGGCTCTTCCCCATAACCTAAGAATAAGAACAACTCAGTAGGAACTAAAAGACAGCAGTAAAGAAAGCAAGTGCAACATCTCAAAGACTGTTTCAAGGCCTTATCATTACAGTTATATATATAGAATTAGTGTAAATGAATTCTGTTTTCCCAGAGGCATCAAACTCCTCCTGTCAAGATAGTCTCTCAAGACACTGGAAAGTCTCTCACGGCCCTCCTGCATCATTATTATTTTTCTTAAAATTTTCTTGCTATTGATGTAACTAAAAATCCAATATAAGGTCAGAGAAAATATTTTGTCAAGTGGCTCAGACAGGCACAACTGATGGATATTAAGGAAACATGTACTGCAATTTCTGTTCCTCTGAGTGCACTAGAAAAATATAAAAAGTAGTTAATTTTACTAAAAAATCCAACTGGGGTACTCAGATTACTTTCTGCTACTATGAAATTGAAGAGTGACCTAGTACTGCCATCAGATCTGACATATGAGTGGTTTTTCAGACTTGTAAGTTCATTTTTCAACTGGTGGGGTATGTCAAATCCCTGAAAACTGTCAGACCATTGCAAAGACATTTATTGCTGTGACGATAGCAGACTGTTCAGCACAAAGACCATCACTTTACATATGTGGTCAATACTCAGCAGACTGTAAAAAAAGGACGAGATGGGGAACATAAAGTACAGCCACCTTGATCCTGTAATTTCTAGTCAATTTAGAGGGTATAAAGAAAGAAAGCCCACTGATGAAGAGCAAAAACATGAAATTGAAACAGAACTTGTTGAGAATATCATACGAAAATAATTTTCCATTTGAAAATGTCAGTCTGGAAAAAAACAAAATGGATTGGATGGTAGACACAGCTTTGGTGTGCATTTTCTCTGGGTTCATGAGGAAATATCTCATCAAATCTGTAGTGCATGCTTTAGAATGGGCACTGGCACCACACAGAGACATTGAGCTGAAGTTTCTCTGTTTTATGCTCAAATTATGCAGACTTTTGGGCTACAGCCTCAGCGTTTTCTAAGTGAAGTTTAGGAGATAAAAGAATGCTCACCTAGAAACTTTTCCAGTTGGTAAAAGCAACTGGATCAAGGAGCTGAAGCTTTACTTCCACATCCCAGATAAGACTGTAGCAGAAAGGATATAACCTCCCCCTCTTCACATAAATGCCGAGTTACAAAAGTACAACAAGAAGAAATTTATGCATCTGTTTCTATGCTTTGGGTTTGAATCAAATGGAAAGAAACTGAACTCTGTAATTATCACAGGAGCCATTGAAGTAGATACTGTCCTAGAGGGACTGTCTCTTTTCTTTTTCTCTGCTGATTTCTTGTATTGGAGACAACACCTGGTTCTCTTCTTGTGTGACTTCTAATTGTTCAATGTTACATGATCTTATATCTAGTACTACCAGGGTGCTTAGGAGCACTTTGCAAATATATTCTTCCCCTTAAACTACTTTGGACAAGGTGTAGATATTACAGAATCACAGAATTACACAATATTCTGAGTTGGAAGGGACCCAAAAAGATCATTGAATCCAACTCTTAAGTGAATAGCCTGTATGGGGATCAAACCCACAACTCTGTCATTATTACCATTGTAAGGTTATTCCAGAATTTCACTTGGCCTATACATATAACTGATTAGATTATGATCTTTTAAGTTAGTATTCCACTGAAAGTAGATTTATGCCTTTAATTTATTAGTTGCTGCTTGTTTTACCTTTGAATTTCATACCTTTTTATTTTATTTTTGGTTCATTACTGTTTATTTTTAAAATAAGCTCCTTTCACCAAGAAAGGTGTTTTTTCTTCGTGATTATTGGTCACTGAATCAATTTAAAATATAATCTCCTGCTCCTAGTGAGAGGTCATATGTGGATAGTAAGTTTATTTATTTGCTCTGACA